TTTGGAATGGACACTATGCCCATTCACTCCCAGACCGCATCTATTCAAGTTGTGCACTAAGAGCATGCTGCAATGCAGGACTGCTCTCCAAGCCAACGGCCACACACACCCCCACACCCACGCACCCCCCACACCCAGAAGCCCGGAAGCCCCCCAACCCCCCAAGCCCCCGAACGCCCAAACCTCATCTCTGATCTCCAAAGCTCAGTTTCACCCCCCAAAAACCTTTTGCATAGGAGCCAAGGGGTCATTGGGGAGATCTCCAAAGCCCCAGAACCCTCCAACCTCTAACCCTACGCCTGAATTCCAAAAAGTCCAACCCTAAACCCTAAACCCTGAACCCTGAACCCTAAACCCCAAACCCTAAACACGAACTCAAAGGGGACGAAGGGCCACACCAGGTGGATTCGTCCAGCTTCCGGTTGAACAGGGTTTGAGGTTGGGTTTAGGGTTTAGGGTTTAGGGTTTAGGGTTTAGGGTTTAGGGTTTAGGGTTTAGGGTTTAGGGTTTAGGGTTTAGGGTTTAGGGTTTAGGGTTTAGGGTTTAGGGTTTAGGGTTTAGGGTTTAGGGTTTAGGGTTTAGGGTTAGGGTTTAGGGTTTAGGGTTTAGGGTTTAGGGTTTAGGGTTTAGGGTTTAGGGTTTAGGGTTTAGGGTTTAGGGTTTAGGGTTTAGGGTTTAGGGTTTAGGTTTATAGGGTTCGGGGTGTAGGTTTGGGGTTTATAGAGTTCAGGTTTAGGCGTTAGTGTTTTTGGATTTTTGGCGGTTAGGCTTATCGAGCAGTGGCCTGCGCAGACAACCTTCAGCCAGAAAACCTAAACCCTAAACCCTGAACCCTGAACCCTTAGCCCTAAGCCCTAAACCCTAAACCTTAAACCCTAGACCCTAAACCCTAAACTCTAAACCCTATAAACCTTAAACCCAACCCTTAGCCTTAAACCCAAAGTGCCAAGCCCTTAACCCTGAAGCTCAAGCCCCTCCCCCCCTTCTTCCCACCCCACCCCCCCCGACCCCCCTAACAGAGTACACCCCCCTGGGAGTTCTATGGTTTCGGGCGTTGAGGGCTCGGCTAGCAACCCTAAAAAGCCTAAACCCTAAACCCTAAACCCTAAACCCTAAACCCTAAACCCTAAACCCTAAACCCTAAACCCTAAACCCTAAACCCTAAACCCTAAACCCTAAACCCGAAATCTCAGCTCATGGCAAATGACGTCTCCCAGTTCGCGAAGCGACCTGGTGGGCGATGGATACCTAAACACTAAGCCCTAAATCCTGACCCCTATACCGAAACCCTCAACCTAGTACTGTTCTTCTTTTTGCTGGCAAGGAATTAAGGGAACAGGTCCCTCAATTCGCTGCTTGCCTTCTCAGAACCAGCTAGTGTACGGTTTAGGGTTGAGGGAGAAGTAAGACAGTAATTCCCATACCCTAAACCCTAAACCCCGAAACATCCCTGAAGCCCTAAAACCCCTAAACCCTAAAAACCTCAAAGACCCCAAAACCCTGTAGTACCCTACAACCCTAAACCCTATAGAACCCTCCAGCCCTGAACCCGAGAGAACCCCAAAAACCCGAAACCCTCGAGAGCCCTAAGACTCTCGATAATATATGGGGAGTATCCTTGGGGACGAAATGAACCCTAACAGGCTTTATGGTTCATATATCTTAATAGGAACTATCGTAGTCGGGATTTTTGACCCTAAACCCTAAACCCTAAACCCTAACCCTAAACCCTAAACCCTAAACCCTAAACCCTAAACCCTAAACCCTAAACCCTAAACCCTAAACCCTAAACCCTAAACCCTAAACCCTAAACCCTAAACCCTAAACCCTAAACCCTAAACCCTAAACCCTAAACCCTAAACCCTAAACCCTAAACCCTAAACCCTAAACCCTAAACCCTAAACCCTAAACCCTAAACCCTAAACCCTAACCCTAAACCCTAAACCCTAAGCCCCCAAGGATAGGGGCACCCACAGCACTGGCACCTAGGCCCCGCGCCGGTAAGGTATAGCTTGGTCCTGCAGATCCGTGAGGGTTTAGGGTTTAGGGTTTAGGGTTTAGGGTTTAGTGTTTAGGGTTTTAGGGTTTTAGGGTTTTAGGGATTGAGGCTTTGTGGTTTAAGGCATGTTCCTGAAGTTCAGGGGATTGCCCTGGCTCGTCGTGGGGCATTTGGAGGACTTGTTTGGGTTTAGGGTTTGAGGTTTGGGGTTTAGTTTTTAGGGGCTGCTCAGGCTTTTGAGGGTTCAGGGAGCTTACACCCTAAACCCGATCACAGGCACGGCCCAAGACACAAGCAACGGCTTGACTTCCAAGCCCGAGAGCCCGAAATCTTCAACCCTCAACCCTAAACCCTTCAGCACATCTTAAGCCATCTTAAGGCCAAACCCTAAATCATTAAACCCGAAAGCCTGAAAATGTACCCTAAACCCTAAACCCTAAACCCTAAACCCTAAATCTGAAATCTAAGTTTCGAGCTCGAGGGTCTGGAGGGTTCGGATGCGCTTAGGAGGACTGCGGGCTTGTTCCACCAGGCTTGCGGAATTTAGGTTTAGGGTTTAGGGTTTAGGGTTTAGGGTTTAGGGTTTAGGGTTTAGGGTACATTTCAAGCTTAATTTGAGGCTGAGGGTTTGATAGCAGGGTGGCTCTTAAAGTAGGGTCCATTTCATGAGGCATCCTCTTCCCCCTAAGTTACCGAGGTGAAGCTACCGAAAAATGGCAAGTTCTTTGCTTCAGTAGGCTCCTTTAGAGGGGTTTAGGGTTTAGGGTTTGGGGTTTAGGGCTTAGGGTGTAACAGGGTGCCCAAAAATCAAAGTGAGTTTTACATATGGGTACATGGACCCTTGGGGCTACACCCCCCCCCCCCTATTCTTAACCCGATACTCCAAACACCTGTACTTAAACCCCAAACCACACTAAGCCCATCCCAAACCCCAAATCACAAACCACCAACTCCTACACCCTGAGCCCTAAACCCTCGACCCTTATCCCCAAACTCCTGAACCCTAAACCGCTAAACCCTTTTACCCTGAACCCCAAACCGCAAACCCTCCACCCTGACCCCCAAACACCTGAACCCTAAGCCCTAAGAACCCCTAAACCCTAAATCCTTAAACCCTAAACCCTAAACCCTAAACCCTAAACCCTAAACCCTAAACCCTAAACCCTAAACCCTAAACGAACCCTAAGTTCCGAATTTTGGAGAAGGCGCACAGGACGACGGGGGCCTCAAACGCGGCTTCAGCAAGCTCTCATCTACCTGGGCCAAGGCCCCGAAGCCAGCGAACCCTGAACCATGACATGTAAGAATTAGGGTTTAGGGTTTAGGGTTTAGGGTTTCGGGTTTAGGGTTTAGGGTTTAGGGTTTAGGGTTTAGGAAGTGCGTTTTTTTGGGGGGTCCAGGCGTATTGACCGGGGATGCACGGGATGACCCTTCACCACACCCAGCCCTAATCCTCCCAACCCTAAACCCTAAACCCTAACTTCAAACCTAAACCCTAAGCCCTAAACCCTAAACCCTGAAACCTAAACCCTGAACCCTAAACCCTAAACCCAAAACCCAAAACCCAAAACCCAACCCCCCCCGAGCGCCTAAACCTCCGCGGAGTTGGGGATACGAAGCATGCACAATGCTCATGCAGGGGTTGGGAACTTCAAGGTTGAGCTTCTTGGTTTAGGGTTTAGGGTTTAGGGTTTAGGGTTCCCGAAACCCTAAAAACTAGGATCCAAACCCTAATCCCAAAACCCCCAAGCCGTTAACGGCGGGCTGACAGGGCTAGCCTTTCCTCCTAAACTAAACCCGAAACCCGAAACCCGAAGCCCTAAACCGGAAGCCCTAAACCCTAAACCCTAAAGCCCTTGACTCCAGGGGATCCCCACCTCAGGCGGCACCAGCACTTCCTCGCTCCTGCGACAGCAAGCAGTTTTAGGGTCTAGGGTTTAGGGTTTAGTGCTTAGGGTTTAGGGTTTAGGGTTAAAGGTTTAGGCCGAAACCCTAAACCTTAAGCCTCAAAACCCAAGAATTAGGGTAGACTGAAGCCCTAGTCCCACCCAGAGAGCCCAACTCAACAGCCAACCCTGACACCCTTGCTTGCTTTTCCAGTTTCCTAGACCCAAGAATAACCAGGGTTTAGGGTTTAGGGTTTAGGATTTTGGAAGTCGGGCAACTAGTACAGCGACGGCACTGCTTAAAAAATCGTTAGTTTAAGAAACGAGCACCCTCGCGTGGGGATCCCGGTTGCAAATGCGACAATTGAGAGCAAGGCTAGATGGAGAAATCGAGGGTTCAGGGTTTATAAGGGTTGAGGGTCTAGGGATTAGGGTTTAGGGCTTCGGGTACCCTCAAAATTGTGGAGGTGATGATTCGCAAACTAGGTGGGCTTCATAGTTAACAAATCCAAGGTACCCTCGCCAAACACTAAAGGTTTCTTATCAAGTACTGTTACTGTACCCTTTCTGTTTAAAAGGGGCTTCTAAGGAAACCTGAGCCCTAGCATCGGGGAATAAGGTCATACTCTGGGTTAAAGTTCTGAGCTTGAATTAGGTGCAGCTCCAACTATATCCCTGTACATACGAGAGATCTACATTTTCCAGACACACCCCCCCCTCCCCCCCCACACCCCACATAGAGCATTCCAACCACAAAAGCCTGAAACTCAGGAGACGCTAAAGGCAAGGTGGTCGACGACATGGGGTTTAGGGTTATCCTGAACAGGGTTTAGGGTTAGGGTACTAAACCCTAAACCTTACACCCTGCGTGCCTTGGCGCGTCCGCACCCGAGGCACCTGGCCATCCATGAGAGGCACATAAGCAAGCAGGACGATGCACCCTCAGCGGTTTCGGGTTTAGGGTTTATAGGGTTTATAGGGTTTATAGGGTTTAGGTTTTGAGTTTTTGCGGTTTGGGGTTTAGGGTCCCTATGCCCAGTGCTTTCCGACCATCAGGCCGAAACACAAAGCTGGCGACAGCTTTTTGCCAGCACACGCCAGCTGTCCAGATGCGCTCAGTGGCCTTTGGCAACGTTTCGGATGGTTTTGACCGATTCTCCGTTCCAGCCTCCCGATCGCACCTCCTCGTGCTTCCGGTTGAAAAGCACCCGTGCTGTTTTCACGTCATCGAAGGCACGTACGGCGGCTGGCTCATCCTGGAACTCATAGAACAGCACATTGTTTACCCCCTCCTCTGTTCCAAGTAGCCACTTGCCGGGTGGCGGTTTTTTCTTGAGGGGGTTGTCTAGAAAGCTACGGGTGGCGACGACACCGCCCCAGACAACCAGCCCCACAGTGCTGGCCACTGGGATAGCCGCGGCGCAGATGGTCCCAGCCAATGCCGTGCCGGCAAGGGCGCCCGCACCTGTGGCTCCAACGGCTTGAAGGGTCGCGACTGTACTCCCTGCGGCGACACCGCCTCCTTCTGCCAGCGCGGCGGCCGACATCATACCGGCGGCTGCACTCCCTGCCGTGATTCCTTGAGCTGTGAATCCAAGTGCACCAGCAACGGCCGGGGTCAACGCAAGAGCACCTGCTGTCCCCAGTGCCCCAGCACACCCTGCGGCACCAACGGCAGAAATGATGTCCGTTCGGACCAATGGAACGTCATCAGGCGTGCTGAGCGTCCACTGCTCCCACTCGCCACGTGCATCCCGATCAGCGCGCACGACGTTCCCAACCCCAACGTTGAGGAAGTGTCCATCATCGGCACAGAGGTACTTGCCGTGGCAGGACTTGAAAGTGATGATGTAACCGTCGGAGCCTGGGGCATTCTCCATGGTCCACTTTTCCCAGCTCCTGGCTTTACTTTGCGTTGCTACAACAGATCCATCCTTCTTGGCCGTGAGATACTTGCCATGATGAGAACGAAGGGCAACCTTGTCTCCGATGCACTCCAGCGTCCACATCTCCCAAGCTTGTGCACGCCCGAACCTATTGGCTACCACCTTGCCGTTTGGCTCCGAGCATAGGGCCGGAAAGCGATTGACCAGCATGCCCTTCCGTCGCGAGCGGACTACAACTGTCGAAGGATGCATGCTACTCTCTTAAGATCGCGACCCTGCTACGCCGCAGACTTTGCTGTCGGGGGAAGAGCACCCTCTTCGAGCACGGCACAGCTGGGCTACCATGCATGCCAGCGAGACATCTGGGACACCACTTGCAACCCGACCACGTAGTCTCTTTGTTGCCCGAAGGGTCCATGCACCTATGTCATATATACTTGGGCCCGAAAGCTACTATATGGGAACCCCATTAAGGCCCAGGTATATCCCATATAGGTACATGGACCCTTAGGGTTGCTTTCATAAACATGAGCCCCATGCCTGACCTACGTACTCCTGACATTCATGATTTCTGGATCCTGGCCCAAAAGTCCCGATGCAAATGCCGAACGCCATTCTTTCTTCAGAGAGAAAGGATACATGTTCCACCAATCCGAAAAGTGTAAATCTCAGCTCTAGCCTGAACTTAAACGATCCTTTCACCCTGATAACGCAACCCTCAAGCCTTCATTAAGGAAATGCAATGCCAACTCTCTCTGGGGGCTCAGGGAGGTAGTGGCACCGGGCGCCTGAGGCATAGCCGCCCGAGGCCTCCGTGGCCCCGAAACCCAGCCATGAGCGCATCGCGATGGAAGGCCCTTAACCCAAAAGGGCCCTACGTACCTATATGTGAGGCACTTACCCAAGCCATAATAGCAATTCCTATTCTAGAAGCCCTACTTTCTACTACGCAGGTACTTAGGACCCTTTGGGTAAGCCGTACAAGCTCCATCAGCCCTGTTGGGGTTGAGAGTCTCCGGTCCTCCGAAGCCCTGAAAACCACCTCATGGACGAACCTCATATGCAGACCCTGAACACGTGACACGTGACAAGTATAACAGTCCGCCGTCGGACAGTCGAAAGCTGCTAGCTGACCGGTGATAATCGAGACCTTGTGCCAACCTTGTGCTGCGCAAATGCCACAAACAAATGTGCCTGCACAATGTACATCCAATACAGATACACAAGCAGATGTACAAGTGGATGCAGAAATGGCTACAGTCTAGATGCCCTCATCCCCAAAGGGTCCTAAGTAGCTATCCGCGCTGGTCACGGAAACGCAACCTTCGGTCGATGGAACGTCTGGTGTTTAGATCTGGGCATCCCTAAACATCCCGAACCCTTAATGAGAAGGGTTTAGGGTTTAGGGTTTAGGTTTAGGGTTTAGAGTTTAGGATTTAGGATTTAGGGTTTAGGGTTCATGGCTTAGGGTCAAATTAGGAACAACCCTTCAAAAAGATCAAGGGACCTGCCTGATTCAGGGGACATTCCTTGGTCACTGGCTTGGGAGCTCAAAAACGAATACCTTCAGCCTAACCCCCCAGGGTTTAGGGTTTAGGGTTTAGGGTTTAGGGTTTAGGGTTTAGGGTTTAGGGTTTAGGGTTTACGGTTTAGGGTTTGTGTGTGTGTGTGTGTATGTGTCATGTGGCAGCAGACGCGCTCGAACCCGCAAAAGGCAAAAGGGCTTTAGGCAAGCCTGACTACCCAGACGGTAGCATTGGGGGCTTAAGTCGTTTAGGGTTTGGGGTTTAGGGAGTTTAATGAGGGAGTTTAATTAGGGTCTGCAGGGCCCCTTTTCAGCATCAATCGAGCTGCGGCCCATCTTGATGGCAGAATCGGCATTGGATAATTCGAAACACCCTGATCCCGTGAATCTCGATATGACCATGTCTATATTCTGCCTGGATTTCAGCGACATCTAACCCTAAACCCTAAACCCTAAACCCTAAACCCTAAACCCTAAACCCTAAACCCTACTTTGGAGTAGACCCTGGAAAAAAGTACATACCTTTTGGGTAGAAGTAGCTATATAGGAACCCACAACCAAAAAGGGTATCAAAGTATAGTACTCCAAAACTCAGGAAAGAACCAGGTGTCATTGTCCGAAGGGGTGGGGTTGTGAAGCAAAGACGATGTGGCTTTAAAGACGCCTCAAGAGCCTGAAAGCATGGTTTAGGGTTTGGGGTTTAAGGGTTTAAGGGTTTAAGGGTTTAAGGGTTTAAGAGTTTAAGGGTTTAAGGGTTTAAGGGTTTAAGGGTTTAAGGGTTTAAGGGTTTAAGGGTTTAAGGGTTTGAGGGTTTAAGGGGTTAAGGGTTTAAGGGTTTAGGGCTTAGGACAACCAGGTGAGCATTCTATAGCGAACAAGCGTCTCCATCAATCTTTGCTGTGCTTGCCTTTCAACCCAAAGCCCTAAAGCCCAGCCACAAAACCCTGAACCCAAAATCCCCAACCTTACTGTAGCCCTATATAAACCCTAAGCCCTAAGCCCTAAGCCCTAAACCCTAAATCCTATAAATCCTAAACCCTAAACTGTAACCCCAGATTCCTCGAGTGGACTTTGCCCTCGATGTACTTTGCATCAGTCCCCTCAGCCCGTCATCCACCTGTGCTTTTTGGGCGGCTTGCGGTGGAGCGGGGAGGGGGCATCCACAGATCTACCCCTGCATGCCTCACTTCGGGCCTTGTAGGAATCAGGGTGTAGGGTTTAGGGTTTAGGGTTAAGGGCTTTGGAAATTAGAGTTTCGGGTTTAGGGCGCACACGCCCCCAGAACATCAGGAAGTCGTGAACTGGGCTTCGGGTTTCGAGACACAAGAGTATCCTCGGAATGAAAAGGGTGCAACGGACCCTAAACCCTAAAGAAAGAAAACAGGGGCCTACTCTGTGTCATAGGTTCGGGGTTGAGGCTGTAGGTGTTCTTACTGGCGGAAGGCTGGGAGCCAGATTTTGCCCCACTCGGTACCGATAAGCGCTTCGGGTCTTATGATCCCAAACCCTACGCCCTATCCCCCAAAACCCAAGACCTTGAACCCCATGTCCCTAAACCCCTACACCCCAAAACCCTAAACCCTAAACCCTAAACTATAAACCCTAAACCCTAAACCCTAATCCCCAAACGCCGCAAGCTCAGAACTCCCACTCCAAGGATTTCAACTCGTACCCCTACGGCGGCATCTGTTTATGAGTACTTGGGTTTAGGGTGCCTGAGCTCTTTAGGGTTTAGGGTTTAGGGTTTAGGGTTTAGGGTTTAGGGTTTAGGGTTTAGGGTTTAGGGTTTAGGGTTTACAGTTTAGGGAAGAGGACACGGACACGGAAGCGGAATAAGGTGAGCTGTCGTCGTGCGCGGCTGGCATGCAGCTTCAAGTGCACACGTTCATGACAAGGATTGACAGCCGCACACCCCTGCATAAGCAATCCAGATCCATGGTGCATTGCCTGCATCACAGCCTGTGGTAAAGCACACACTATACCCATACCTGTCACTCGTGTGGGGACCCTGAAGGTTAAGGGCCCTAAACCCTAAACCCTAAACCCTAAACCCTAAACCCTAAACCCTAAACCCTAAACCCTAAACCCTAAACCCTAAACCCTAAACCCTAAACCCTAAACCCTAACCCTAAACCCTAAACCCTAAACCCCCAGGCCCCACGAATCGGCTTTGCCATTGCTACATGCGCGTCAGCCACCACTGACCGCCGGCTTCGCTTTGCACCCGGCACCCCAAAGTTCGACAGCGCTGGGGTTTAGGGTTTAGGGTTTAGGGTTTAGGGTTTAGGGTTTAGGGTTTAGGGTTTAGGGTTTAGGGTTTAGGGTCTAGGGTTTATGGACTTCAGGCGGGGGGAGATCATCTGAACCTTCAGCCTTCTAAACTCTGCCAAAACTTTAGGGTTTAGGGTTTAAGCTTTCAGGTTTAGGGGTTTAGGGCAGCCTTTAGGCCACAAAAGGGAAGGTTGCCCTGAGCGCGGCACTTGTACCTGTCCAGGTCGACACCATCTCCGCCGGTGTACTGCACCCCGGTGTCCTGCCGTAGGTTTCGGGTTTCGGCTTTCGGGTTTCGGGTTTAGGGTTTTAACTCTAAACGCTTACTAAACCCGAAACCCTAAACCCCTAAACCCGCTATTTTCAAGGTTACCTACTCAGCACTGCGCGGGTTTTTAACTCGACCGTAGGCCAGACTCTAAAGCAAGGATCTTGGAATCCAAACACGGGGCCCTAAACCCCCATCGAGGGTCATCCCTAAAGACCTAAACAAGACGACCAGCGTGCGTGCACACGCGAAGGGTTAAGGACTCAGACTTTCCGTTTCAGGGTGGAGGGGGCTGAGGGCTCAACCCCAAGCCCCTAACCCAAGGGTTCCTGAAGAATATCTGTCTTGTTCCATGCTCTAAGATCTTTTTGTGGGCGCCCTGGAATCTTATGATGTCCCCACTTTCATGTTTAAGGTTTAGGGTGGCTGCACGGCGAGGTTGAGGGTTGAGGGTTCAGCTTCAAAGGTCGAGGGTGCTGCACACCAATGCGAAGGATTTTAGCCATCAGGAACTCTTGACAACGCTGTTATGTGCTGTGAAGGGTACTGATTGTTCTGGAAGAGCCCAGCCTAAAATCTCGACATGTAACTCATCTACGGTACCCTTCCAGAAGGGCCAGATACCCAACAACTCAGGCGCCAATTGCTTTTCTTAAGAGTGAATGGACTATGTAGATACTCATTTTTCACCATGAGTATGTTGAGTGCAGGTGTAGGGTTTAGGGTTTAGGGTTTAGGGTTTAGGGTTTAGGGTTTAGGGTTTAGGGTTTAGGGTTTAGGGTTTAGGGTTTAGGGTTTAGGGTTTAGGGTTTCGGGTTTCGGGTTTAGGGTGTAGGGTTTAGGTTTTAGGGTTTTAGGAGTTGATGGTGGCTGTAAGTATTTCGTTTTGTTTCGGGATACCAATGCTATAGGAAGCCTACCTCACACAGGTTGCCCAGTTAGGGTTTAGGGTTTAGGGCTTATTGAAATTATTGAGGGTTCAGGTCCGGGGAAGTTTCGAGGAGTTTCAAGGAGTTTCGCTTTTGAATTTTCGCAATAATTTCCAGTTACAGGGGGCTTGAGGGTTTAGGGTTTAGGGTAGGGTTTAGGGTCCGAAATCCAAACAAACAGAGGGGTATTCACCCTCAGCCCAAAACCTAAAACCCTAAACCCTGAACCCCAAACCCTAAAACCCTAACCCTAAACCCT